TTGATAGGAAATGGACTCTCATTACCTTGCTCATGTAATTGTAACCCCTCTGTATGGTATTTTCACAATAAAAAACTTATTTTTTAAAAAAGAAAACATAAAAAAATATAACCACTGAAAAGCTGGAAGTAGAGCTGTGGCTCACGTAAGAGGCAGCTTTGACCAAAAAAAGCTCAGGGACAGAAGAGAACTAAAACTTAAAGCTAGGACACATGCGTATGTGCACACACCACACCACACACACACATACATACACACACATAAATAAAGGAAATAGGGGGAGGAGGAAGATAAAGAATGCATAACAATTATTTAGTCACAAAGTTTAATGAGACACAGATCCTCACCTGACTTTCTGAACATCACTAAGCTAACTCTTATAATCAGTGAAATCAAATAATTCTGTAGACATATTAAAAAATCATCACTATATGGGGATAGAGGCAACCCATGGCACTTAAATTGCCACTTTGACTTCTCTCCAGTCTCCTCCATTGGCCTATCCCACTCAATATATTTATTATTAATGAATCCGAATGTCAAATCTACTTCCACATAGTGTTACAGGTACCACTACCATTCAATGAATTTGCCAAGGGAGAAATTACGTATCTGGCATCCAGGATGGGATGTGAATTGAACAGAAGTGAATTCAAGTCATGCCGTGGCCACTGGAGGGCTGTATGAACTTAAACACGTCATTCCAACTCTCCAGATATACTTCATGTAAGTAAAGGAATATAACATACACTAAGATCTTAAAAGATCCTAACTTTAAATAAGATATTTCAGTGTGAGATTTCTGGAGTCATGAAGCATTGGTGCCTCAGCTGCGAAACTGGCAAATACCTACTGTATGAAGTTCTTTAGAGGAAGTAAAGCAAAAGCATTAGACACATGCAGAATCATGAGAGGAGGGACGACTCATGGATGAAGGGAAGTGACCAAACAAAAAAGGGGCCTTTGTCTTTAAAAATGAAGGAACAACATGCAGAGAAAATGCACAGGAATTAGACCTGAGCTTCATGAACCTGGAAGGCATGGAATGACACTGTCACAGAGCAGTGCTGTGTAGGGGACGTCAGGGAACTGATCTATCCTCTGTGGTTCAGTGCCCTCACATACAAAAGGGACCAAAGTCTACATATCCAGCCTTTAACCACAGAATTTCTCTACATTAATTACAGCACGATGGAGAAATTCATGGGTTACTCATACTTCAAAATATTACAGAGCTGTAGAATGAATGAGTAAAAGAGTTATTTAAAGTGACTTGGAGATGTGTTCATAAAATCCTTTTCAAAAAAGACTTACAAAGTGAAGGGTATACTGCAATTCCAATTCCATACTTACAAATAATCAGAATGATTAAAATCAGAAATTATTTCATGCATCAAATCAGAGATGATTTTAGGCACCCAATGAGAATAGTGTGGGGAACAAATGGTTGAGCAAGGTTGGGTAGGAAAGTGGAATGCCAAGAGTAAAAATGATACTATGAAGCCAGATGTGGACAAACGGTTCATGTCTGTAATCCTAAACACTCAGGAGGCTGAGATCTGAAGATCACAGTAAAAAGCCAGCCCCGGCAGAAAAATCCAGTTCGTTAGCTTGTTAATCTCCAATTAACTTGCAAAAAGCTAGGAGTGGTAGTGTGATAAAGTGGTATATTGCCAGCCTTGGTGAAAAAGCCAAGTGAGACTACAAAGTCCTGAGTTCAAGCCCCAGTATACCACCCCCCAAAACACACACTTGCATCTAAGACTTCATGTCAGGATTCCTCTGGCTTGTTCTTTCACTACAGATGAAAGGACATATATTTTATAATTTTTTAAATACCCTCAAAATTTCATGGTCTCTGAAAGTTGATATGAGGGATAGAGAAGAGCAGGAAATGGACAGTGACCACTTAATGGGTATGAGGTTTCCATCTGGGGATGTTTAGAACGTTCTGGAACTAAACTGTGGAACATTTGCATCACACTGTGACTGTACTGTCACTGATCCATGCACTTCAACATGGAATGTATATTGTGTGTATTTTGCAATTTAGATGCATTTTTTATCTTAATGTTCAACACAAACAGGAGAGCTAGAAACCATCAACGTTGACTAGCATTACTAATACCTAGGCCTGCAGATACTAAGACAATAAAGGAAGCAGGGAGGACAGAGGGGAAAGGAAAACTCAGCAGTGAGTAGACAAGGCAGAAAAGAATTATGTATGCAGCTAGGCGCCGATGACTCATGCCTATAATCCTAGCTACTCAGGAGGCTGAGAGCTGAGGATCGTGGTTCAAAGCCAGCCTGGGCTGCCATCTCCAATAAACCACTCAGAAAACCGGAAGTGGCGCTGTGGCTCAAGTGGTTGAGTGCTAGCCTTGAGCTGAAGAGCGAGGGACAGTGCCCAGGCCCAGAGTTCAGCCCCCATGGCCAACAACAACAAAAAAAAAGAATGATGTATGCTCAGAGGGACACAGAAGTATGTTTCAATGGGAGGTGAGGCAAAGCCAAAGCCAAACTCTAATGCTTCAAAACAAAGGACATCATTATTGTTGCACAGTACTGTAGGAGCTGCTAGGAAAATTAATCCATTCAGGAGAAGAGAGGCCAGAGATAAAGTAGAACCAGAGTCCACTTGTGAAAACTTCATATCCTATAACTTTTTAGGCTAGAAGTTGCAATTCCACAGCTTGGAGACCTTCAGGACCTATGTAGGAGGTTGCGCTCCAAACTGGCCAAGAAAGGTTTGCCCAATACAAGAAACACATAGAATCAAGTGCTGATGTCTCACACATGAAATCCTAGCTACTCGTGAGCCTGAGGATCACGGTTTGAGGCCAGCCTGGGCAGAAAAGTCCCCACGAGACTCTTACCTCAAATTAACCACTCAAAAACCGTGGCTCAAGTTGGTAGAGTGCTAACCTTGAACACAAAGAGGCTCCAGGACAGTGCCCAGGCCTTGAGTTCAAGCCCCACAACCAATTAAAAACACAAACAAAAAATGCATAGTAACTGTGGAACTTTCCCACAACAACAAAAAAAGGAAAAAATTAAATCCTGACCATCTCCTAAAGAGACGTCATGCCATTCTAAATCCTGTTGCTCCAACTTTAGTGGAAAAAAAAGACATAATCCAGAAATGGTTATTCACTCACCAAGAATAAGTAATTCAAAATTATATGAAATGGAAAAAAATAGTCAATTCAGAAACATCACGTCCAAATATACCTACAGCTTTATATCTGGAATACAAATGATCTGCCTGTACCATAGCATCAGTATTTCCTTCTACATTATTTCACATTAGCCCATCTGGTAGAAACCTTCATATAAGACCACTCAAAGGGCTTCTGTTTCAGGAAAGAAGCACTTTGTTTGTACTTTATCTAGTCCAATCTACTTCCATAGGTCTTGCTAATTTGCAAAACTGCAAGCAGGTATACAATCAAGAAACCTAGACTTTAAAGGGGAAAAAAAAGAATCACAGTGCTTTGAAATAGCATAAAGACTTTATGGGGAAGAAGGAAATAGATCAAATAGCTACAATGGAATCTTTTTTTAAAAAAAAAATTATTGTCAAGGTGATGTACAGAGGGGTTACAGTTACACGAGGTAAGTAGAGTACATTTCTCCCACTTCCCTCAAACCCCCCCCACACAGTTATACAGATAATTTCCAACATACTGTCTTGTGAGTATTGCTGTTACATTTGTTTGACCTTTGTCCTTTGTCTCACCATTTTGTTCTCTCTTCTCCAAATCAGATAAACATATATACAATACCCAGGGTACCAAAATAAAAAACAGTGACAATAGGGGATAAACCATAGGGAAAAAATACACAAAAGAAAAAAGAAATCACATAGTACATTAAAAACAACAACAAAGAAAAACCTCTTGCTTCCCTGTCTTGGAATCTTAATTGTTTATTTGTTTGTTTGAGCAATGAAACCCAGGGCCTCATACATATTAAACATCTGTTCTACCACAGAACCACATCCTCAGGCTACTCTATTCCCTTCCTAGCCTCCCCTCCCCTCCCCTGAATTCTTTATGTACCTTCCAAAAATAACTTCTCATCACAGGCTGACCAAAGCAGACCAATTTTACAAATGAGAACATTGAGGCTTACAGTAAATTCAAAAATGAAAAGCTGCCCGGGCCTGGACGTACAAGAAAGCAAGCACAGAAAGACAAACACTGTGTTATCTCATGTATGTGTGGAAGCTAAAAGGTTGATCTGAAAGCAGTAGAGATTGCAATAGAGATTACTAAGGCCTGGAAAGGGTGTCCAGAAGATAAGGATGGACAGAAGACTTACAATGTAGTACAAGTACTGGGTAGCAATGGGAGGAAAAAGTTTGAAGTTCCTGTATGGTCAACAAAAATATAAAAAAATCTTGCACAGGGAATGTGGCTTAGTGGTAGAGTGCTTGCCTAGCATGCATGAAGCCCTAGGTTTGATTCCTCAGTACCACATACACAGAAAAAGCTGGAAGTGGTGCTGTACCTCAAGTGGTAGAGTGCTAGTCTTGGGCAAAAACAGCTCAGCGACAGTACCCAGGCCCTGAGTTTAAGCCCCAGGACTAGCAAAACAAATAAAAACAAAAACAATTATCTTTTTCTGACAAAAGCAGACTATACTGTCTTCAAACAATGTAATAAGAAGACTATTAACACAGATATGACTAGTGTTAGACTCCCTAAAAATTAATTCCAAAACATTGAGAAACAGTTTCCCTACACTAGAAGTCTTAGTCCAATATATTCTTCATGTATTTTTTGCAAACAAATGACCTCAAAAGTTTAATGGTTTGAAATTATTTATGCTAATTACATCACAACACAGATTTTTAATCATCAACAAAGCATCTCATCAAACATTAGGAAAAAAAATTATACAGCAACAATTCCAAAGGACAATGCAACCTGAAATCTTCTTGTTAACAAAGCTTTCTAATTTGTACTTTCAAATTAGGCCATTAAAAGCAAAAGTGAAAGCCAGCCAGCAAGTCTGCTTACCTAAACGTGTATAGGCAGAGATTTAGATAAAGCTGGCAATAATTATGCCATGATACAAGCCTTAAGGACAAGCAAAGTCATTAAGTCCCCTGAGAATGGCTACAACAAATTTAAATACTGGGAAGCATTTTCAAAAGTCATTACTACTATTAATAATGCTAAGAACTTAAATGAAACTTCAAAATTTCAACAAACTGCATGTAACCTTTTTTGAAGGAAAAAACAAAAACAAAAAACCCTCTCATAGCACTATCCATACCAAAACTCTAAACTAGGGAATCTCTAATCTCAATAGCTATATGTAAGAACATACTGAGAATGATGGTACACACCTTTAATCCCAGCCATTTTAGAAGAATCTTTTCTACTTCTGCCTTTTCAATAGCTGGGAGGAAGGGAGGAATTGGTTTTCTATCGCTTCAGTATTTTCCTTTCTTGATGGACCATTGATTCAAACAGAGGACGTGCTCTTCCCTAGAGCAGGCCCACTGTACAATGTTTAAAAAAAAACAAACAAACATTAAACATAGTGACAAAACCTTTGAGTTAAATTCATCCCCAAATGTAATCCCCTCTCAGCTGGGATTTCAGCTTTCCCAAAGATTTTTTTACCAGCTTCTCTTGTCCTTCTCCAATAAAATCCACCCTCACTTGAAACTCAGTGGCACTCTCTGACACAGCACCAGTTCATTTTGTATTATTTGAGGACCCTGTCTTAGTGTTAGGTGTTCAATAGCCAGGATACTTTGCTATTCCTCAGCAGGACAAAAAAAGCAATAGCTAATGCTTTGAAAAATAAAAATCACACCTAACCTATTATTTATATCTGAAATAGAAATGATCTCTCTCCACTGTAGCATCAGCATTCACTTCTACACATTTCACATTCTTCACATCTCACATGATCTGTGTTATATAGGAGCTAAGAAATCCCCGTGCAGTTGCCCACGGAGCAGCCTCAGAAAGATATAACATGGGGATATAAAACCAAGACCCACCTTTTACGGCATCCCATGGCACAAAAAAAAAAGTCATGTTTTGAAAAAAAAAAATCCCTTAAGATTAGCTGAAAGATGGTGCTCTCATTCTTGCTATATTTATTCAAAGTTTTAAATATGGCTTTCATAAACAATGGTGTATATTACACACTCAGGCTGCTGAGATGTCTGAAAAAGTAGCACTGTGAATGTCAATAACAAATAAATAATATTATCAACCAGGAAGGAAAAGTAGATAGAGCACTAAGGATAGCCACACTAAGAAAATCCTTCCAGCAGTTTAAAACATGAAGAAAATCCATAAAAATTAATGGAGGCAACATATATAAATCATAAATGTGCCAAAGCTCACTTTAAAAGTATATTATCTATCCAGACACACATTCACCTAACTATATTTAGTTTCTACAGTTTTGAAAGAAAGACCCAATGACAATAAATATTTCCCCAGGGGACACACTCAGACTCACATTGAGCACACAAGCAAACCAGTAATATACAAACAAACCCAGCAATAGCTTTTATTGGAGAAGAAGTAGAAAGCCCTGGGATTAAGGAACCAGTGGGAAAATGAGATCTCTCTGAAACATTGCAATTTTTTTTTAAACTAGGAAAATGTGACGGTTAAAATAATGGTTAGTGTGTGATGGTAACCATAAATACAAACTAATAGTGAAAATAGAATAACCTTTAAATATCTCAATTCTACTTCAGTCAGCTGAACTATCAACACATTTAAGAAACATACCTAAAGGAACCTAAAGGAAAAGGAGTTCTAAAAGTGGGTTCTACAGGTACGAGTGGAGGCCTAGCTAGCTTAAATATCTCAATCCTTCTAAGTCTGTCCTGGCTGTTACTCTAGATATTGAAGGATTGAACCCCCCCCACACACACCCCTCGCGCACACACACACACACACACACACACACAGTATTATTTCAGGTGCCTATAGATGTCACACAAAACCCAAGGTACATGTGGACATGCATGTTTGCTGTGCAGGCAAGGCAATCTATCTAAGCCTGGCTGGAAACATTCCATTATGGGCCCAACTGAAAGCTGTCCACCTCCCCAGACCTAATGGCTTTTCTGTTAACGCCTACCTCCTTGCTCAGACGCCATAAAAGCCCAACTCCAACCTCACCTCCTTGTATAACCTCCATTCTCATGGGAAGGTTTGTTGGTCCTAGCCTATTCCTTTTCCCTTCTCCTCCATTTTCCTAACAGGTAGAGTTTTGGTTACTTCAGTGTAGCAAAACAGAAAAGTTCACCATCTATGAGTAGCTGCCTGGTGACTACAAAGTGGGCTTGCCTTCATACACTCTCTTCTACTTCATTAAGCTCATTGCATGCTCTCCAATAATATAAGTCAGAACCTGGGCTGCAAAGCCCTAGCAATCAGGTTCCCATCACTTACACTGCAAAACCTTGTTTTCTTTCCAATCTATTTTCCCCAGAAAGCTTTCAAAGCCTCTGAATCATAGAACATTCCTTTTCCATAACTCCACATATACTTGCACTGCATTTCCAGTTTATAAAATAAAACCCTCTAAAATTATTCATGAGATTTCCCAGGCTGCAGGTTCCCATAAGCTGTTCAGGTAAAAAAAAAAAAAAAAAAGCATAAAACAAACCATCTACTATTATGCTGCTCCAAAAGCACTAATTGTGGCCATGGGTTTATAAAGAATGTTATCTATTTCCATCCTGAACAAATTTAGGAGAAACTGTGGTTTCCTGTTCCAGGGTGTTGTCCAAAAAGGACTCCACAAAAGTCTGCAAAAATAATCCTTGGCGTTTTGTTTCAAGAGGAATACTTGGAGGGTTTCCCACTGAGAAAGGAAATGAGCTTGTCCCAACTGTAAAGGGACCAGTGTGTTCCAAAGACTGTGAGAACGACACAATTCTGATGTAAACAATGTCTAATGAACTTACTATTGCACAAGTATTGGGGTGCATCGATATGCTGTGGTATGAGGGGAGTTCCATTCTGTTCTTAATCCTCAGGACCTGATGGAAGACTAACCTACACCTCAGTTTTCTTGCCTACAAACTGTGATTTACTGAATCATGGATATCTTTGAAAGACTTAGTGTAAGGATTACAATGCATGTATTTGCCTCATACAATACTGGTATTTTTGACTGACGTGCGTACATATATGCTTGAGCATCACTGAAGTTTCAGATTCATTAGAAAGCAGTCCAACATGAAGTGTGATGAGCTATTTAGAAAGAACCACATCTTTATGGCCCATGTTCATATGTGAAAGGATAGTTTAATCCAATGGCTCAATGGATAAAAATAGTCTCAAAGAAAAGTTCTACCAGGGAGAGGGGGAAAAAATACATTTTCAAGATCATGAGTTGCTATGAAAGTTATATTAAGGTACTCTAAAGTGTAACCCTACTTTTGAAAAAACATCCTTAACTTGAAGAAGTAACCACTTCTGACATTTGCCAGCAGAGGCATTTCAAGGACAAGAGGAAGGAGTCATCAGGAGGTCAGGTATACAAACTTCTCTTTCTCCACCAGACAGAGGGCCACAGACAGCCAGTGTTGAAACTGGGAGCTAATCCCATAAAAGATGGCAGAAAGACAACTTCAGTTCCACTAGAAGTCCCAAGGACCTTTATCCCCATAGACAGACACAAATCCCAACTAAGGAAGGAAAGGGTATTACAAAAGACAGGTTTCAACCTCCATTCTCTGCCAAGAAGGAGCCTTTTCACTGATAGGTCCTATTCAGGAGCCACTCCAGGACAGGCTCTCTGGCATCAGTGCTGTAGCCAAAGGCAAGGGTGCAAGAGATTTTTACAACATGTCCTGGGTTGAAACCAGGACTGCGTCTGCAACCCCCCCACACCCCTGAGTAGTCCTCAACCCAGAGGAACCAACCTTTCATCTGCCTATTTACAGCTCCTGGATTCTTTGCAAACACTTCTATAGAGTGAGGAAGAAGACAAGGGGGGAGGGAGAAAAAGGAAAAAGCAGAGCTGGATGCAAAGGGAAGAGCTATATATAGAAAGCAATTATGTAAGAGTGGGAGAGTGGGAGAAGGAGGAAGCTTCTAGCCCAGGAGAAAAGGCCATCTCCGCTGGCTCTCGGAGCTCCTCCCGAACAGCATGTCCCTGGGAAGATTTAGTAGCCACAATGACCAGCACAGATTTGAGGCTGAGATTTTTTTATTATCTTTCTTAAATCATGTAGGCTTTGCAATGGGTAGCAGAACAAAGAATCTACTTCATACAATTCATTCAAACTTTTCCTATTTTTTTTTCTCCTTAAGCTTCAGCTTCTGGGGGTTATAAACACCATGGAATCCCTGGGAAGACAAATGTAATGCTTGTCTTGCAGGAAGGTGTGTCCCCTCCCCCACACCACCCGCCTACTGAGCGTTTAATATACAACAGTGAGGCAAGTGTTAAGGTGTGAAGAAGAGCATAATAAAGTAACATGAGCTGGATGGATACGTGAAACAACAGGAAATTTCCACTGCAGACAAGGAGGCACTTAAGATTTTACTTTACGTCACTTGAACTTGATTAGGCACAGGTTTTCTTTCACTGGGCTGCTCTGCCATGTGCTCGTTGTCTACTAGGCACTATATAGCAACTTCCAAGGTTAGGAATGACTGGAACTCTGATGTTTCTCAGGTAGGAATGACTGGAACTCTCACGTTTCTCAGGTTGACGCTCAAGTTCAGAGACAAGCAACCATTCAAGGTTAAAGAGCCACCCGCTAGAATAGCAGGTGAATACACTCATAGTATTCAAGGTACCTATGTGTAACTGGAACTAGGTAATTTGAGAGGCTGGCCAAGCCTGGGAAAGATGGGAGGAGAATGATGAAAGGGAGTGACACTGATCGAGATGCATTGTACTCATAACACTGATAGGTTTTATTGATACTCCTTTGTACGATAATTTAATAAATAAATATCACCCATCTCAAAAACAGAGCTTCTCTCTGAGAGGCTCAGAATCAGAAGGCAACTCCAACTAAAACTTTTTTAAAAAATCAAAAATCTCCAAAGCCTAGCTAGCAGCTCCTACTTCAGCTATGTCCTTGGAGACTTCACTGTGACACCGAACTGTCTTAAGGCATAC